ATTTCATTAAATTCTTCTGTGTCAGCCAATTCCTTCTGATACAGTGACTCTGTGTATTCCTTCCATCTTCTCTTGATACTTTCTGGATCATTTAATATACTGCCCAAAGTATCCTTAAGTATTGCCACCCGTGGCTGAATTTGTTTTTCAGCTCCTTCAACTTAAGAAACGCTGGGCGAGTTCATCCCTTTTGATTTTCTGACTCCAGCTCTCTGAACATTTCATTATAGTATCTTGTTTTATCGTCCCAGGCTGCCTTTTGAAATTTTCTGTTTAGCTCTTTGATTTCTTGGTTTCTTCCTTTTGCTTTGGCTTCTCAACGCTCTAATGCAATATTCAGAGTCTCATCTGACATTCATCTTGGTCTTTTCTTCTTTTTCAGCCTTTGTAACAATCTTTTGCATTCTTCATATACGATTTTCTTTATATCCTCCCAGAGCTCATTTGGTCTATGCTCATTGGTGCTCAAGGCCTCAAACCTGTTTAAAAAGGTATTTGCAATTAATAATCATTGAACATATAAAATTAAAAAATTCTATTTCTGATCTCATTTCTGTCACCACATACATACTTTCCAAATATACTTCCTTTGTTTTCCAACTTTTGCATTCCACCAATAACACATCTTGATTGCATGTTTTAAGAAGGTGACCCTTGCATCTAAATTCCAAAATCAGTCTCTACAATAGTCTACATGTTTCCTATTGCCAAAGGGGCCCTTTAGAGTAGTGAGGGAAGATCTTCGCCCTGAAACCTACAGCATCCCTTTTCAGCAGGAAGTAGCTAAGAGAATACGCTGTCCCCTTTTCCTTATGAATCAGGGTGAAATCTTTCTCAGGGAGGAGTGATAGGGAATGGCAAAGGACGCACTGGCAAAGGAGATTAATCAGAGCTGGTTTTGACAAGCACTGTGGCAATGGGACAATTAAAATAGATTTTCAAGGGGGAAAAAGAGAGGAATGAACTGGGAGGGGGGTAGAGAAAATAGTGCAACAATGAATGAATGAATGAATGGAAATCCAAAATCTCTGTAAATGTTCATTAAAATTAATAAAATAAAAATTTTTTTTAAAAAAGAAGGTGACCCTTCTGGCATTGGTCCTGACTGAGGAACAGACCATCAATTGCTCATGTGCCAGTTCAAATTGAGGCTGAAGAAAAATGAAAATAAGTCCATGAGAACCAAAATATGATATTAAGTCTATCCCACCTAAATTTAAAAATCATCTTAAGAATAGGCTTGAAGCACTGAACACAGTGATCAAAGACCCACTGAGTTGTGGGATGATATCAAGGATATCATCCATGAATAGAGCAAAAAGGTCATCACGAAGACAGTGAAGAAAGAACAAACCAAGATGGATGGCAGATGAGACACTGGAAATTGCACTAAAGCATTGAGAAGTCAAAACAAAACAAAGATATACTCAAGTAAAAGAGCTGAACAGAAGAGCAGCTTGAGAAGATAAAGCACTTATTATAACAGAATGTGCAAAGAGTTGAAGTTAGAGAATAAAAAGGGAAGACTCACTCAGCTGAACAAACTGAAGCACAAATTCTATTCTTGAGTTACAATACTGAGATGCTATGGGCAAAATCTTGAATGATCCAAGAAGCATAAAAAGATGGAGGGAATACACAGAATGACAGTATAAAAGGAGTTGGTTGGCACTGAAATACTTTGAGAAATATCATATGAACAAGAGCCAAGGGTAATGAAGAAGTTCAAGCTGCACTGAAGACACTGGCAAAAAAGAAGGCTGTAAGAATCAATGGGATACCAATGCATATGTTTCAAGTAACAGATTCAGCCCTGGACGGGCTTGTCAGTCTATGCTACAAAATTTGGAGGACAGCTGCCTGGATGGCTGACTGACTTGAAATGATCCATACTTGTTCTCAATCCCAAAAAAGGTGTTTCAACACAACGTGGTACTTATAGAACAATGTCATTAATAACAAATGCAAGCAAGATAACTGCTGAAGATCATTGAAAATGGCTAACACAGTACGACAAAAGGCCAGAGGTTCAAGCTGAGTTTACAAGAGGCTGTGGCACCAGGGATATCATTGCTGATTGATGTCAGATGGATCCTGGCTAAAAGCATAGAATACCTATTTGTGATTTATTGTCTTTGCAAAGGCATTTGACTATGTGGATTATAACAAATTATGGCTAACATTAAGAAGAATGGGAGGCTATTTGTGCAAACAGAGCAAGTAAGACTACATGGTTTTAACTTAAGAAAGGTGTGCACCAGGGATGCATCCTTTCTCCATACCTATGCCCTCTGTATGCCAAGCAAATTTTTCAACAAGCTGCACTCTGTGGAGATGAATGTGGCATAAGAATCAGAGGAAGACGCATAAATAGCCTATATTATGCAGATGACACAATCTTGCTTGCTGAAAGTGAGGAGGACTTAAAGGGCTTGCTGCAGAGGATCAAGGACTACAGCTTTTAATACGGATTGCATCTCAACATCAAGAAAACAAAGATTCTCAAAAAAAAAAAAGAAAATGAAAACAAAGATTCTCACCACTGGACTGATAGGCAATATCTTGATAGATGGAGAAAAGATTTAAACTGTCAAGGAGTTCATCTTACTTTAATCCACAATCAATCAGCAGTCAGGGGATAAGGAGATGTATTGTACCATGAAAATCTGTAGTCAAGGACCTCTCCAAATTATCGGGGAGCAATGATATCTGTTTGAAGACTAAGGTGTGCCTGATCCAGGTCATGGACTTTTCAGTCACTTGGCATGCATCTGAGAGCTAGATGATGAGTAAGGATGACAGAAGGAGAATTGACGTCTTTGAACTACGGTATTGGAGAAGAATTCTGAATATCCATTCCCCTGGGCTAACAAAAGAACAAGAGCTATGTCTTAGAGAAAGTGCAGCCAGAGTGCTCCTTAGAGGCAAAGATGGCAAAGCTTCATCTCACATATTTTGGACTTATCGCTAGGAGAGGCTATTGCTTGCAGAGTGACATCATGCTTGGAAAGGTGAGTCAGCGAAAGAGAGGAAGACCCTCAGTCAGATAGACTGACACAGTGACTGCTGCAATGAGCTCATGTGTGTCAGAAATGGTGAGCATGGTCCAGAATACGACGGAGTTCAGATCTGTTGTTCCTAGTGTTGCTATGAGTCATACTTGCACCCCACCCCCACCCTGCACCCAGGCCCTGAGGAAAGAGGGGAACAGCTTCTCCACTGAGGTTCTTCCTTCCAGGAGCCGACTCAGTCTTCTCTGCCCCCATCCAGCCTCTCCCCCTGCCCTCTCCCCTCCCTTTGCTCTCTCTGCAACTTATTCCTCTTGGGTTCCAAAGGCTCTGAAGAGGAACTTGGGAAGACGGTGAAAGAGGGAGAACAGAGGAGAGCCTGTGGGGACTGAAACTTGAGCTCCTAGGCCCTGAGGGGGTATGTGAGGGGGAGTCAGACAGACAGACAGATTCCCAATCAGGGTGGGTTTTTTTTTCTTTCTTTTGTTTTGTTTTGTGAAGCAGGCAGCCCTGGCAGCCCGGGGTCTTGTGCTGAGAGTGCCTGAGATTGTGCATGCCTGGGGCGTGTTGCTCTTTCCTCTCCTCCCCTTACAGTGAGACCAGGCCCCTACTGGACAATAAGGGGCCAGAGGCGAAAGAGAGGCAGGCAGAGTGCCTGAGGGCAAGAGCGAGGAGGAAGGAAGGGGAAAGGGGGAAAGAGTAGGGATGAGGGTGGAGGGCAGGAGGCGGTGAGAGGAAGCTGAGCAGCTGTGGTATTTGGAGCGAGTATAAATAGCCATCTGGTCAGGGCGCAGGGAAGCAGAGGTTTGCAGCTGCTGTGGCTCCTTGGGCAGGCCTGTCCACCGGCGGCCACTGTCACTGGGGGGTACATCTTGGGCACAGAGCCAGCCGGTGTGCAGGCACGGCCCCCGGAGGCTCTGATCAGACCCTGTCCCCAGCATCACCTCTCTGGTTGTCCTCCTGGCCAGCCATGCTGCTGGGCAGCCTCCTTCTCATGGTGGCCACCGTGGCTGTGGCCCAGCAGAAGGTCGAGCAAGCAGCCGGGTTCCGCCACACATACCGGATCCAGCAAGGCCAGTGCAACTACATCTTCTTGTTGCCGGAGCCTGAGCTCTGCCTGCAGGAGCCGGGCAACAGCCTCCAGAGGGACACCCCAACCCGGGCGGGCCACCTGGGGGAGTGGCCGAGCCAGCGGGTGCGGCAGCTGGAGAAGGCGCTGGAGAACAGCACGCAGAGGCTGCAGAAGGTAAGGGCCCTCCGAAGGGAGGTGGGGCGTCGGCTGATGTCTGCATAAGAAGTGTCCAGCGTGAAGGTCTTCCTTGTCTGGACACAGATGATGCAACTCTGGGGTATCCTTGTCCCTGAGTTATATATACTAAGACAATGAGGCCCAGAGAGGGCCAGGCATGGGCCTTAGGTCACACAGCAAGACATAGGCAGAACCAGAACCTAGTTCCTCAAAGGTCATTCATTCATTCCTCTGAGAGAAAATTGTTGTGTGTTGACCATGTGTGGACCTGGGTGCTGGGGATGCCACAGTAAGCAGACAAATCCCTGCCCTTCTCGAAGTATATTCTAGAAGGAGACAATAATACCAAGCTGAGCGACATTTGCTATGTCAGAGGGTAAAACAAAAAGAAGCAAAAGAGAAGGACAAGGAGTGACCAAGAACTGGAACATCTGGAGCAAGGGAGGGAGAAAAGGGTCACAGACAAGGTCTGAGTGGGAGGGGCTCTTCTGGGCCAGAGCCTGGACCTGGGGCATTTGCTGAGTGTCACCAGAGCCCCTGCAGGGCTTTGAACAGAGAACAGCATTCCTGGTTCAATGTGAACAGGGGAAGTGGCTGTAGCGGCAGGGTGGACACAGGGAGCCCAAAGAGGAAGATGCTACAGTCACCAGAAGCCGGTTGCCCTGAGAGGGTGCAGTGGGGAGGCGTGTCCCTCAGACCGCTGCTTGTCCTGGAGGAGGTGCTTGGCTGCAGGTGGTCTGCTGAGGAATTACATGTGATGGGCGAAACCAGGACATTGGCGCATCTGGGACCACTGAAGGGTCTCCTATCTGCATCCTTTCACTCGCTCACTCTCTCAGCAAATGCTCTGAGCACCTACCGTGTGCCAGTCCTGGGGTGAGGCCAGGGGAGGCGAGGTCGGTGGCAGGCTGACCAGGAACAGAGTGTGGCTGGAATCCAGAAGCAGAGGACAGTCCAGGCGGAGGCAGGTGGTGGCGAGTAGAAGACCAAGTCACAGAGCTTTAGAACCTAACAAAAGAGCAGCTGGCAACTGACAGGCTTCGAGGTGATGGCATCTACAATTCTCCTGGGGGCCAGAAACAGTGGCTTTTTCTTACCCCTACAGTTCCCAGATTTTTATATCCATGTGTCCCATCAGTAAGAAATATTTGCTCCCCTAATGAATGCGTATTAATATTTATGCACACATATCCAGTATTAATATCATATGTACAGAGTGAAATCGTATGTACTCCAGTGAAACGGAACTTTAAATAAAAAGATGATCTATGACATCATGTCAATTACAGTTCTATAGTTTTCTCCTATTTTCCAAAGGATTGTTTTGTGCACAATTTAGGCTTATTTATGCTCACAGTGAAGCGATTCCACCATAAGAATCTAACCAGTGTGCCTAGGTTCACACTCACAAGCACATGCACCCACATATGTGTGCACACACCTTTCCTGTTTTCATTCTTTCCCAACTGGCCCCACAGACCCTTGTTCATCATCTTCCCATAATCCCTTGCTTGCTCACCTGACCAGAGACTCACCTTCCCTGCAACACTGCCACCCTGCCGTCATCACACTGTGTCCCCTCACAGCAGCTCCTGACCACAGGTACCGGGACCCAATCTAACACAATTCCATGCTGCCCTGAAAGGTGTGTGCATCTCTCCTGGTAGCTGTTTCTGAGTGAAATGGGACCGTTTTCAAGTTTTGGGGATTTTTTTTTTGGTGAGAAAAATTTGTATTTAGAATTAGCCAGCTGGACTCAGTTAAGATGATCCCAATTTTGTTGGCAAAATCCAAAGCATCATAGTCAGGAGCAAGTGGAACATAGGCCTTCTTCTCTCCATCAGGCCTAATCAAAGTGTTGATACAATGTCATAGAGCTTCTTTACAGCTTGTTTGAGTTGATGCTTGTTGGCCTTGACATCCACAATGAACACAAGTGTCTTGTTATCTTCTATTTTCTTCATGGCTGACTCAGTGATCAGGGGAAATTTGATGATGGCATAGTGGTCAAACTTGTTTCTCCTGGGGGCGCTCTTCCGGGGGTGTTTGGGCTGCCTTCGGAGTCTCAGCGTCTTAGGCCGCAGGAAGGTGGGTGACGTGCAGATCTTCGTTTTTTGGCGGTGGATGCCCTTCAGCACTGCCTTCTTGGCCTTTAATGCCTTTGCTTTTACTTCAGTTTTGGTAGGGGGAGGGGATTCCTTCCTTGCTTTTGGCTCCATAGAAAGTCAAGTTTTTTCTCTCTGTTTCCATCTTTCCCTCCCTGTCATGTCATCCTCTCATCAGACTTTGCAATCCAGTGAGAAATGGGGGTTAAGGAGAGACAAACCTCTTAATTGCCTGCCCTATACCTGCAGTTGACCCTGGCGCCACCCTCCAGGTCCCAGGCTTTTCTTCAAGCTGTGAGGGAGGGGTTTCCTCAGTGAGTCAGGGCCTCTCTCCCTCCTCAGCTGGGGGTCCCCAACTCCTCACAGCCCCACAGCTTTCTCATATCAACCACCCTATCCTGTGACTCCAACAACTTCTCCCTCTCTTCTGGCCTTCCCCTTCAGTATTTAATCACCCCCAGGTCTTCTTCATGTTAAAATACACACACACAACAACAACCACAAAAAACAACAAGGAACAGAAGAAGAGGAGGAGGAAGAAGGGAAATAGAGGCTTCTTTGCCCAACCTAACACCCCGCATCTGGGGGCTTCTCAGAAGTTCTCATGTCTGTCTCTGCTTCTTTCCTTTTCATTCACTGCTGTCCCCAAAGTTACTTCCCATTTCCTAAATCCAGTAGCCATGATCTGGTCTTCATGTTAAGGAATTGTGCTGCCAGTATAAAGGTTCAAGGTTCAAATGCACCATCTGCTCCAAAGGACAGAGATGGGAAATCTCCTTATGTGATTCACGGCCTCTGAAAACCCACCGGAGGCTCAGCTCTGGGTTGGTTTGAACACTGTAGTATACAACAACAATAATAAGTGTTCCTTTAATACGAATAGCACAAATGAGTGACTTTAAGAAACACGTATGCTTTCTAACAGTTTGGAGGGCTGAAGGTTTGAACACAGGGTAATGGCCGTAGAAGGCATTCTCTTTGCATCGAGGGGAAAGTTCTCATCTCTCTGAGCGTCTGTTCCAGGGTGATATTTGTATGGTTTCTTTCTCAGTTTTCTTCCACTGTCTCTCTTGCCTGGCTTACTTGTTTAATTTCTTCTATCTGAAAGGAGTTTTATTCAAGGTGAGCCTACACTCATTTTGCCTCCTTAACATAAAAAAAGAGACAGTCCTTGGGGAAAGACATCAAGCTGGGAAAGGTGGAGGGTCAGAGAAAGAGAGGAAGGTGGGTTGACAAGGTGGGTTGTCACTGTGACTGCAGCAATGGGCTCAAGTGTGTCAGAGATCTCCAGGACGGCACAGGAGAGGGCGGGGTTCAGATCTGCTGTTCGCGAGTCACGCTGAGTCGCAGTGCTCTCCATGGCACCTAACAACACCCACACATGGAATTATAACCACAGTTGGAGCTCTGTGTCATTAAGTGAGAATAACCTCGTAGCTGACCCTCCAGCGGGTTTTCCAACTCCAGCAGGCTGCGATAAATTGCACAGGAGGATACTGCCCATCTTTTCCCCTCAGGGCAGGTGATGGGTTTGAACTGTGAACCTTAGGATTGGCAGCACAACTCCTTAACACTAAGCCACCGGAGCTCCTTACCACAGGTATAGACGTTGTTGTTGTTTAGTGCCATCAAGTCAAGTACAACTCATAGTGACCTTATTATGAACAACAGATTTGACCCCTGCCCTATCCTGTGCCATCCTCAACATCTCTGACACCCTCGAGCCCATTGCTGCAGTCATTGTTGCAATCCAACTCATCGACGGTCTTCTCTTTTGCTGACTTTCCACTTTTCCAAGCACGACGGCCCTCTGCAAAGAACAGCTTCTCCTAGCAACACGGCGGAAGTATGTGAGACGAAGCTCTGTCATCTTTGCCTCCAAGGAGTGTTTTGTTACACTTTCTCCAAGACATATCCGCTCTTTTGTCAGTCCATAGGACAGACAGCAGGTCTTGTCCATCTTACGACCTCTCATTCTCTTATTTTCTGTTCCCTTGCTCTCTGTTGTTGCCCTGGCTCCGGGTTTGTCCCCGCTCCCTGACCTCCATCCTATTCTCTCACCTAGCATCATCATCCTCAAACCCACCCTTTCAATCATTGAATCTTCTCATGCCTGATGTGAATGGATTGGAAATAATACTTTGAGTGACAAAAAAAAATAATCACCCAGTCCAGTGTTCAGCCTGTTGTAGAATGTCCTCTTCAGGCTTCTGCCCACTCTCTAACCTGGCAGTCCTGGACAGAGGCCACCAGAGAGCACTATGAGCTGTAGAGCACTGATGGGCTCAGTACTGAGTTCAAATCCTGATCCTAATTCCCCATCTGCAAAATGGAGAAATGACAGTGTGTCAAGGGATGGCGGGGACCACCAGTGAAACAGCTTAGGGACGACTCTTCGCCTGGCCCCTGTAGGCACGAGATCGATAGGTCACCTATGATGGACTTTCCCCTAATCCAGCATCATGCCAGGTGTACAGTGAATGCTCAGGAAATGAAGGCTGCTCTATTCATTCTCATCACTGGCTGCCTCTAGAATTAATCACAAGGCCCGTAATTCTTGAGCCCCTGAACATGTTGGCCTTGCTCTCAGGGATGTGTCACATCGAAGCAATCATCTTTCTCCTTCTGATTCATCCCACTCCCAGGCTGGGGACACGTGCTACTTTCTGTCATCAGGCCTTCCTCTGATTTTTCCCATACCCACTCAGCCCAGACATATCTCAGAGTCTCTGCAACGCTGAAGCTTCTCAGCATCTGCTGTAACATCTCAGAAGAGTTGGAATCAAAAACATTCTTGTCTAATGATAGGTCCACCGCCTCCATCCTCACCATCGCTCTTAGAGAAGCCTGTGTGACCACTGGTCCCGCCCACCTCAACTCTCACACCTCCAC